GCTATTATCCAAATAAAACACAAAACAATTAAAGCATAATCATGAATCAGTAAAGAATGAAACAACAATACAGCGCAGAATCGTATGGCCGGACGCACTCTTAGTGAAAAAGTTTTCCTCCATTAGCGGAAAAGGAAGGGCGCCTTTTGCGTCTGGATATACTTAGCAACAGAAGGGCGCCCTGTACGTTGGGCACGAAGTACAGAAAACTTGCATGGTTAAAAAGAAGAGCGCCGCCTACGTTGGGCACGATTTCCGCCTCATTTTTACAATGCGAGTGCTCTATCTTGTATTTCTAGTATCTTTGGTAAAAGTACATTTTCTACAATACTAAGCCATAAAAGCTGTACCCCATGAACCCTACCAGGGTTTTTATTCCGGGAACTCTACCGAAGACCCCTTGGTTCGGACCTCGTCGGAAATGTCGGACCCCTTGTCAAATTTCTGGAGCCACCGCTGATGGTAGTAAAATTTGATTACGCTCTAATAAGCTCTTTCCATACTATCAATATTTTATGTGACAAAGAATGTGATGATTCCCACATCTAGTATAGTATAGTATAGTATTGACACTGTTGACCATGTGATGCTAATGAATACCTTACTTACAGAATTTGGGGTGTCTAGCAAAGCCCATAAACTTCTCACTAATTATCTTCAATGTCGCCATTTCTCTGTTAAGTTTGGTAATGCATTCTCTGATAAAATTCCCCTTAAACATGGTGTTCCTCAAGGTAGCGTTCTTGGCCCTCTTCTTTTTATTTGTTATACATTCAGTCTTTCTAAGTTGTTAAATTCTTTAGGTCTCAATTATATTTCTTTGCCGATGATATCCAGCTCTGGAAAGAAGTCGATCTTGACAATCCCGCTGACATTGCTTCTACTATTTCCTTAATATTTGAATCATGTTTGTCATCTATTACAAATTGGTCTTCAATGATGAAACTTAAATTAAACCCTAGAAAAACTGAATTTCTTGTTATTTCTTCCAAATATCGTACTCGCCCTGTTCCTGAAATTAACATAAATTGTAATGGTATTAACATATTTCCTTCTTCTTCGGTTCGGAACTTAGAGGTCATATTTGACAAACATCTTGACTTCAGCAACCATATATCATCTGTATGCCGATCGGGTTACTTTCACCTTCGCCGTATCCGTTCCATTAGACCTTACATTTCATCTTCTGCTGCTGCTTCACATCTCTTGTTCATGCTTTTAATTCATCCAAACTTAACTTTTGCAATGCATTGCTCAATGGTTTACCTGCTATTAGCAGTAGACACCTTTAGAAACTTCAGAACTCTGCTGCTCGTGTTGTAACATTGTCTAAAAGGTTCACCCACATTACGCCAATTTTAAACATTCTTCACTGGCTTCCAGTTGATAAGCAAATCATTTTTAAAATTCTTCTTCTCACCCACAAATCTATCCATAGTTGTGCCCACTTTATCTCTGTTCGCTTATTGACAAACATGTTTCTTCCCGTTTTACTCGTTCTTCTCAATCCCTCAAACTTGTTACTCCACGAGTCAAGCATATTCGTACCGGTGAACGCTCTTTTTCTTTCTCTGCTCCTAAACTCTGGAACTCTCTGCCTCCTCAATTACGTATCATTTTTGATCCGCAATTATTCAAATCTACTCTTAAATCCTTCCTCTTCAAATAGTTCAACTTCTTCTTAACATCCTCCTGCGCCGATGACAAGCCAGTTTTGTTTGTTTTAATAGGCGCTTTAAAAATGTGTATTACTATTATTATTATAGTATAGTATTACGTCATGATTTTTCTTTTAACGTCAAAGGTCTTTTACGATCTCCATCAAACGATGAAGTCGCTGCTGCACTATCCAAAAATAGAAGAAGTCAACGGTCACATCCATCCGTTGTCGTACAACATTTTGAACGAAGCTATACCAAGGTATAAGCCTAGTACCTGTCTCTTATACACATCTAGATGTGTATAAGAGACAGGAAGTCAATGACTTTGATGTAACTTTCACGTGCGTATATCGAATATTAGTGTTGTAATCAGTTGCCACCAACCGGTTGTTAAGTTATAAGGTCCTATCATCAAAATGTTCACACCTCAGCCCCAACCATAGCGAGGCTGAGAGGATGTGGGCTACAAATCCTGCACCCGCCCAAGTATATATGGGCACAGTATGCAAGGTATAGTAACGTCAAAACATTAAAATTTAATGTTTAATGATTAGAGTGACGTTAATACATTTATATTATTTTAGATCACGTGAGTGTTCTGATGCGGGCGTTCCATTATGGTCGTGTGCTTGCAGACAACAAACGGTAAGCAGAATATTAAAAATATTTCACCATCATCATCATCCGTCTGTCCCCTCAAGGGGGATTGGGTCGTCTCGACACCACTTTCCATTCCCCCCTGTCACCAACTCTGCTCAGATCAACAATTCTAACATTGTCTCGGACACAATCAATCCAGCGCTTTCTTGGTCGTCCTCTTTTCCTTTTGCCGATCTCTACATGCTCCGCTGCCCATCTGACTAAGTCGTCCTATTCTTTTCTCTTCATGTGTCCATACCACCTCAATCTGCTTTTTCTTATCTTTTCTCTAAAATTTACAACTTTTGCTTCATGCCTTATATCTTTGTTTCTCATTCTCTCCAGTATTTTCACCCCTCTAATTGTTCGTAGACATCTGCCACTTCCAACTTCTTAACATGCTCTTCTTTCACTGGCCAGGTCTCTTCCCCATGAAGAACCACATGTCTTATTCTTGTACACCTGTGCTTTCAGCCTCATTGGCATCCGTCTATCGTAAATTAATCCACTTACGTTCCGCCACGCATTCCTCTGAAGTCTTGCTAACACATCAATATCCACGTTCTCCACCCTCGTTAACCCATCTCCCTGGGAGAACAAGTGAAGAAATTAGTGAAATGTTAAATATCGATCTTGCTAACGTAAATAACTGGCTTAAGCAAAATAAAATCACCTTAAATACGAAGAAATGTGAAGTAATGCTAATTGGGTCTCACCAGAAATTAAGATTTGTTAATCAGGTACTTAACATTAAAATTGGAAGTGAGCACATTAAACAAGTCGAATCATGCAAATATTTAGGGATTATAATTGACTGACACTTAACTTGGGAAAAACAAATTGATTTAGTTTGCTCTAAAGTTTCTAAGGGTATTGGTGCCTTAAAAAGAGTTAAATATTTTGTCCCTAATGATTGTTTAATTACATTATATAATTCTATCATCTTGCCTCATTTTGAGTATTGTTGCGAAGTTTGGGGCAACTGTAGTGATACTTTGGCTGCAGAACTTCAAAGATTTCAAAATAGGGCGGGACGTGTTATCCTCGGTTGCAAATGGGATGAACCAGCTGCAACAGTGTTAGGCAGTCTGAGCTGGCAAAGTCTGTATCTCGGTGGATCCAGGAAAGTGTCAATTTTTATGTATAAATCTGTCAAACTACTACTTATGCCCTTATATATTCAAAATCTTTTTAAATTTGAAAAAAAAGTGTTTACAGTTTGCGACATTTTGATTGCCTTAAACTCCATATTCCTAAACCTAATAGTAATTTTAAGAAACGTAGCATAGTGTATAGGGGTTCTCATCAATGGAATTGTCTCCCATTTGAGATTAGATCTTCGCCCTCTCTTTCGATTTTAAATCAAAATTGTAATGTTATTCATATATTTAATTATTATTCTCTTATTATTATTATTATTATTATTATTATACTATATATAATTCTATTATACATTATATTATATTTGTCTTTTGGGTATACACAACCATTTGTAAAACAACCTTTGTGTTGAAATGCTATCGTGTCTACATAAACTAAATGAAATGAAATGAAATAAGTATCTGAAGGATTTGGTTTGCTTCAGTTGCTGAACTTCTACTGTAATCAGCTACTGAGGAACTGACTTTTCTCGTGAGACCACCGTTACTTCCGTCTTCCCTTTGCTCATCCGCATGCCCTGAGTTTCAAATTGATTGTGCTACATTAATATTTAAAATATTTCTCCTACTAAAACGTAGCCGTTGGGCCCGGTACTTTAAAGTTGCCGAAACCCTTTAAGCATAAGCCTTTCAAGCAAGACGATTACGGGAATTTACTTACAAACTGGGTCCATAAAATAGACAGTCGATTTTAAGCAAGTAGTCTACCGTTAGTGGGTGGGTTTGTCACAGCCAACCACTACGCAGAATATTGCAATGTTTCGTAATCCTACATTTCAATTTCCACATTTTATACTGACTACTCATCTTGTGGAGAAGGCGGTACGTTCTTTATTACGCAACATGGTGACGTTACAAGGTTTGTAAAAAAAAAAGCTCCATGCAATGTTGTCCGGCTTTTGTTAACGACGTGTATAAAAGCTTAATGTTCTTGGGTTCTTGACCTGTTTAGCATAAAATTGTGCTTAGGAATTTGGTTTGATGTCAAATACCTAAACACATATTTATTGGTTTAGCACGTCAGGAGCCTAAACACATTAGGCTATGCCTAAAGGGTTAAGCTTTTAAACCTGTCACATGGAGCTTTGTCTTAAGTCCTTCACGTTGTTTAAAAAATGCAAGTCAATAATCAAAACATTATGTTGATATCCTGTAATTTCGTAAATTTTCTTTCTGACTTTAAATGATTTGTACTATAAATTTGATTAAATGTACTGTTATAGGTTGTTACTGGCAACTGGACAGATGTTCACAAGAATTACGCTCAAATGGCTGCCGATAAAATAAACACACATCATTCACAAGTAAATATATAATTATTCACTTAGACGCTAGAGCACAATTTTTTGGCGTTCCTAGCAAACCAAACGACTGACCAATGAAAACATGGCCAGGAACAAGCGCACATCCCACAAACACACAAGTTTATGCACATTTACGCTGTAGTTGTAGACTTGTGGCAAATCTGGAGGGTGCCCTACAGATGAACGTTAATCGTTTGTCGAACACGTGCTCGAATTTCAAGCGCTATACGAATTCTAATAGGGCGCCCTCTACTTCGTGGTATTACTTTTTTGCTCCATTGTGTGCATGCAGGGCAGTTGAACCTTTTGCTATTCTATATTAATGGAGGCACATGCGCTTCTAATGAACTATTAAAATAGACAAATATGGACGTAACGTAACCACATCACCTCAGTTTCAACAGGCTTTATACAGTCTGATGTTAAATACTATGTTGGCATCATATCCAAACGATTAGCCAAAACAACTTGATTGTATAGTACATTTTTTTTCTGTAATCTCAGAAACCTCAGACATCGTGCATGGATGTACACATAGACACGATCACATCTGTTATTGAACAGACATTTGCGTACGGAGGAAGGGAGAATCTAGTCCATTACCATATAGAGTTCAAATCTCAACAGGGTCCATCGAAGTGGCAAGTCCAGGTGAATCCCAAAGGGTCTATTGAGTATGTAAGTAGTTCACTGTCGTCAATCTCTGTCCATAGCAATTCTTCTACATCAGGCTCCGTCTGCAAAGTGTTCAGTTTTTACAGTATCTATATTAGTTTCTGAGCATTTGTGTTTGCTATAGAGTAGGCCTACCTGAAAAACGAACTGTGTTGTAAGAATGTCTCCACTTATAAATAGATTGTTCGATAATCTTGCATGAGCATTGTAAATTTTATGCTAAGTAAGCATGTTATACTGTACATGATCCTACTCACTATTTTGTACTTTTACAGTTGAAGCAAATCAGTCGTTACGAGAAGTACAGGGACTGCCATGACAAGCGAGTGTCAATAGAGTTCTGTATATGTCGCCAGTATCCACCTGGCACCCCGTGACGATAGTGGCAGGGCGGCAAAACACGATACAGAGGAACTATAGACTACAAAGCCAGTGGTGGCGCCTGTGAATGTGAATGTGACCAGCGATGTGAATCGAATTATGCCGGATATTGATGAGAAATTATGTTTGATTAGGAATATTTTGTCAATTTGTGGCAGAGGGGCATGCTATGATACCGTCTAATGTAGCCTACCACTCGTTTTTTTTAAACAAACTTGATCAGAAATTAAAAAAACAAACTTTAGGGAATTGTTAGATCTCCAAAAATGTTTGGTAATGGAACGAGCTCTATCATCTCTAGGTAGTCGGAAATGGCACTCTCAGGCATAGATTTAATGTAATGTTCATTTTTCCCCATATTTTTTTTTAATTTTGAAAAAAAATGTAAGTGGAGATTAATACGATTGTCTGGAAAAATGAAGGCAGTAAGGGAATGACAAGGGCTCAGATTGGTGAAGTCTGCTAGTCACCAGGGGGTTTCTGGGCGTGAGGTCCACAGTCGAAGCCCCGGTGGGGTCGGCGAAACCCTCAAAGCAAGAGGATTTTTGTGCTTTATGGGTCTAAGTAATGCTATAAAAGCAGATATGTTTGAAAATGTCTGTGTCTGGGTGGGTCTGCAGTGCATTAGTTTGGTTGGAGGACTTATTTGGGAAATTTAAAGAAGGGGTTTCGCCAGAAAATAAGGGGTTGGTTAGAAAAGGGGGGGTTCTCCCGAACCATAACCCCCCCCCCCCTTGGATACAGGCCTGCATGGCGTTGGTGTTCAGCAGCGACAGTGCTCGCAAGGGTCCCAGTCTCATATCTGGGTGGGTCTCCAGCTCCGGTGTTACGGGACGGCATATTCTATGACGAGAAGAGCTCATTTTCTCCTGTTTTTATGTACGTGATGAAGCCTTTGAATTTTGAAATTGGTAGTGGTGTGTGAGGGGCGGGCGATAGGGAGGGAGAGGGGGAAGGAAAATACAACCCACCCATGGTTGGGAAAAATTTTCTTTTCTAGATTCCCGGAAATAGCAAATTCATACTTTAAAGAAAGTATGCCGCAAGTAATCAGAGCCGGTTTTACCCGTATACCTTGACAATTTGGCTAACTCTAACCACAAATTTTATATTGTTATTATTTGTATTCATCTTTGTATGTTCAAAAGTAATAAAGGTGAGAGAAATTAGTGGTCCGGCCATAACCGGTGCGGTTCCGACGGCTCTTTTTATGCTTTGATTGATTGATTGATTTCATTCGATGAAAATGATTTGTCAATAAACAAGTACAAATTAATGAGCATCAGGGAAATGGGCTGGACATACGTACATATACCGTGAAATGTCATTGCATTTGTTCACTCCTGTAAATACACATTCTTTTGGCTCCCCTATCAAGACTGTACTTATAGGATAGATATTAACTTCGACAACACTTTTCATCACTGTACAAAAAGTCTGTTCCATTATGTGTCCAATCCGATAGTATGCAGTAATCTAAGGAAACAGATTCGAAAGATCCATAATTCTACAGATACTGTCAAATATGTTGCCAGTTCTGTGCCAGTGGTGTAGGTCTCTCATAGACTATTGTTAACAGCATCACCCACCGTTATTCCCCCTGCGAATGCCTTGATGCAACTACCTCCAGGGAAGGCGTACCAAGTAGATGGAAAACTGCTGTCACAGGCCACAATTAGAAGTGCAGCATTGCAGCAGACTTTACCTTTGAAAGAAAAACTCATTGTCACCATTGTTGCTACTGTGCTATATCTATATAAACGCTTGATTTATGTCGCCGTACAGTAGGATGAAAATATTGCTACTGAATGGCATGTACTTGGAGTTCGTTTTATCACACACACAAACACAACTTATCACAAAATGCATTCAAGGACATTCAAGGGTTAACCCATTTTATTTTCCCTATCGTCAGTTGCGTCAAAGCGGTGGTCCGAGGTCCTGGCAAAGGTTTCTTCGAGGCCACGGCACAGGACCCTGGTCTACAATAGCAAAAGGCATCCTAAACTACCTAGCGGGCTTTGGTAGGCAGATCGGACAGGCTAAGCTTAGTCATTCTATCAATTAAATAATAATAAAAAAAAATCACTGAATTGGTTCTACCATGTTTATTATAAAAAGGGACTAAATTCAAACAATTTGATTCAGAAAGACTCTCTTTTTTGGGGGATCTTTGAAATAACATCCTTTAATATATTGTCTGTCTTCGATTTTTGTCAGTATTTATACACATAATAATAGGCATACTTACTGTATAGAATGAGATAAAATCACATGTCCTTTTTGAAGAGAAAACCTTGAATTTTGAAGAACTTGAGGTAATAAAGATCGGACCCTCAGAAGTCAGAAGTCGGGAAAGCTCATCTCCGGCCATCTAGGAATCAAATTTTACCAGGGGCCTCTTTCTTTTTCGATTTAAAAAAAATTTGAACCCCTTTTTAAAAAATCCTGCACCCACCCGTGGGCCCCTACTACCATACGGGTAAAGCCCCGCCCGCTTCGGCGTAATTTACGTTTTAAGGAAGTATTATTTTGAAGGTGTTTTTACGTCAAGTGCTCCTTAAAAAAGCACCATTCTAGCTTTCAAAGTCAATGTGGTGAGAATCCTCACACATTGGTCGAACATTAACTAGACTGGACCACTGTATTTTTGCAGAAAAATATAGGTACGGTGCATGTTGATTTTGCCTTCTGTGTATTATGTTTAACAATAAATACCTTGATATTTCCAGTAAAATTTAGCAGTAACAGGTTTTTCGATTGCTATCAGGATTACTCAAAATGAGACCGTATTTGCTACTTGAGCAGAGATCGCCTAGAGCTCCCCACCCCCGCAAACGAAAGAGAGGAGAAAAGATAGAAGAGGGAGAGAGAGAATGGAAAATTATACTGAAAACGTATAGCTCGTCTTCGCCTCTATGCGCCCCAGAACAATAAAAAAGATATTTAAAAAAAAACAACACATGAATAATGGTAAAAGTGGTGATAAGAAAAAGCAAACAAAAAGTGATAGAATAGAAAAGCAGCACAAAAGTGAAAAGGAAAAAAAAACACATGAGAGTAGAGGAAAATTAGAGATTGTCAAATAAGAATGATTTAAAACGGCACTTAAGCTTTGTCTACACTGTCAAATTTCATCAAAAAAGCATCACATAAAATTTGATGGAACATGGAGTTGAACACGTTCAACTTTTTTGGATACAATTTGATGATATGTTATATGACGTCATCCGACCCATATATGGGCACATCACATTTTTTAGTCACATGAAATTTGATAGTGTAGACATTAAAGCTTTAACGATCATTAAATTAAGAGATTCTTGAACGGATTGTGGAAGTCACGTAAATCCCAGAGCTTAGGACCAACGACAGAAAAGGAACTTCAAAATGGCAGGTAGGCACATGGAGAGTTATAGATGTAGTGCCCTTTTACATTACAAGTGTGATCAGTTCCGAGATGTAGTGAGGAGTGGAATGGTGCCAAGGACTTAAATATATAAATCAGCACGTTGAACCTAATTTGCTGGTTGATTGGAAGCCAGTGCACTGTTTCTTAAGTGTGGGAATAATAATGTTAAAGTTGGGAATACCAGACAAGTCGAATGTCTACACTCCTTTTTTTTTTTCTTTTTTTTGTGTGTAAATCTTCGTATTTGTAGGCCTATTGCACAAAATTGTCTCTATGATCTCGAGTGTTGACTTCTAAAATCTTGAAAAAGATATAATACTTAGCAGCCACGGTGCTCACTGAGTGAGGGCCCCGGTCCCATCTGGGTCTCCAGCTCTAAACCGGGGCAGATTATTCACACTATCGACAGTGTGAAATGCTTTAGGCCTACACAGATCTCTTAGAATTTGTTGAATTTAGTAGTGATCGACAAGTAAATGCCTGTGACACATCTATTAGAACCATACCAGGACTATAACTAAAACTGTGATTGCTAGATGGCGGGAAATGAGCTTTCCCGACTACTGAGGTGTATTTTAATGACTTTTAAGTCATTCAAAGTTTAGGTTTCTCCCTCTTGAAAACGATTCAATGAATCGATGAACCCAATCCGGGTTCTTCTAGGGAAAAATGTTGATTCCTAGCTGGCGGGAAATGAGCTTTCATGACTTCTGAAGTGTCTTTGAAAACTTTTAAGAAGTTCTTCAAAAATTACCTCTTTTAGAAAACCGGTCACAGGTAAATTTTTCTCATTTTTATTACAGTAAATAGGCCTATGTGGGTGTACCGGTATATAATACAGAAAAAAAAATGAGTATTTGCATATACGTATTCTTTTTTCCGTGAATGGATGAACCCCAAAAAGAAAGGGGGGTCGGGGGTCCTCCCCGGTAAAATTTTGATTCCTAGATGGCGGGAAATGAGCTTTCCTGACTTCTAATTTTCCCATTGTAAGAGCAAAGTTTAAGCTCACGGGTCCTGAAAAATATAGGGGTCTAGAATTTTTTTTCTTTTAAAATTTCGTTTATTATTATTATTAAAAAAATATTTTCCATTTATCACCCTATCAAAGAATAAAAAGTGATGAGGAATGGAGGTTTAAAAAAAAATTTTTTTTTTTGTTTTTTATTTTTTGCTAACCCCGCCCCCATTTTACCGATGTTCACAAGTAAATCGGTGGTTAGGGACACATATATAAAAAGTTATAAGTTAATGGAATCAATTTTATGTTTAGGAAATATGTTTTTGTTGTACCAGTAAACATATTTGTAAGAGAACCTAGTTTTACAAGTGAAAAAGTTGGAAAAACGACCGTTTGAAACAAAAATATATGTTGACTAAAAAAGAAAGGGTGAAAAACTAATATTTTTTTTTATGGGGCCTAAAGAAAAAAACTATTTTTTTCTGAAATATCCATTTGTTTCATGGCGGCGGGTGGGCTATTTGGCTAAAAATAAAATTGTACTTTTATTAGAAAACATCAATATTGGCGGACGGCGGGTTCAATAATACCTCCATGGTCAAAAAAAGTCTGGCCTTTAGGAGCGCACAGAGATAATACTGTTGTAGTTTTTAAATAGCGCCCTCATAAAAATTGTGGTTATTTTGAATTGTTGGGCGGCAGATTATAAGATCACAGCTGTTGATTTGTTGATAAATTCAGCGTAAGGTCTACATTGATTTTTGATAGAAGGGATGTCTTTTTCTAAATCGAAGTCCAAAAGATTCAATGAAATTTTATGTGAGTATCATTTGACGTATATACATTTGAAATCGGTGTGTTTGTACTGTATTACACTTTTTTATGCATGTCTGTCAGCCTACCTAGCCTAGGCCTAGCACCCAGCCACCTAGGCCTAAATAAGCCTAGTCCTAGGCCCTAACTAACTAACTAAGCCTAGGCCCAGGGAGGCCTAGCTAGCTAGGGGCCTAGTACCTTAGCCTACAGTAGGCCTAGCTAGGCTTGGCTAGACTAGTAGATAGATAGTCCTAAGAGCCTGAGTACTAGGCCCAGTATTAGCCTAATAAGGCAGATAGCCTAGGCCTAGGCCTAGACCTCTTGCAATGACAATGTTTAAGTTGACCCTGACTGACTGAAATAAATGCTGGTATTAAAATAAGTAAAATTTTATTTTTGGCCAATTAGCCGGTCCGCCACCATGAAAAATTTCAGTTTTTCATTATTTTTATTATGCCCACCGATCTTGAAATCTTTAAAAATATGATAATTATTTTGTTTCTTAAATTTAAAGCATAACCAACCCATTATTTGACTTACATCACCAGTAAAATTTTAGTTTTATTTTCTCCTTTGTCTAAATTTTTTTGGCAAAACTATTTGCTAAAATAACCCTTCTAACAATTTATAAAAAAATAAGTTTGTGAAACAAGGTAAAATATGTGTCTGCCTTTAAAAAATAAAGCTGCTTTATCTACGTAGGCCTGCACACTTCCTGTATTGTATTGTAGTACAGTCGCAGTCCAAATGATTGACATTTGGACAAAAAAAGGCCTAGGCCTAGCTATGGCTGGCTCGGCCCAGCTGAGCTTTACAAAACCACCCCTTTTAATGCTGAATATTCACCTTGACCTTTAAATCCTACAGCATATCAAGCACTCTATGCAAGCATACTCTGTGTATCTATTCTGACCTCCAATTTGAATTTATATTCATCGATTTAAATGTTATAATTTTCTTTTAAAGCATGTGCTCCTCCAGTTGGAAAATATGATCTTACGATCCAACAGAAGGCAGCAGCTGCTAGTTTTGAAAAATCTGACAGATTTAAAGTACCTAAAGGTTAGTTTAATTTTCCATCAGATATAAATTATATAATCTTGCTAACAGGGACAGACAGACAGACGTGAATACATAGCCTCCTTTGCAGAGGTATTAAAAGTACAGTTGAAACTACAAGAAGGCCATGTTTTTAATAGACCATCACATTTTTTTTTTGACAAAAATGTTTGACATGCCTAAATATGGGGATGATGGCAGCACATATAGGCACATCATATGCATCAAAAATGTGATAGTCTCGATAACGCTTTACACCCTACAGCCGAATGCAAACCTAATAATAATAATAATAAGATTTATAAAGCGCACAAATCCACTGCAGTAGTGCTCAAGGCGCTACAGGAAGGAACAAAAAATTACCATGAACCTTAAAGCTACAAGAAAAGAAACACCACACCATCACCGCACCGTTTACAGGAAATTTAAGGCACAGTAGCCCGCCTATTCATTACTCACAGTGTGCTCAAGTAATGGGAGTATCTAACTAAAAGAATTAGCAAGCAAGCAAAACAAACCAGAGAACTGGGAAAAAGCAGCCGACAGCAGATGCGTCTTGAGAGCTTTATTGAACAAAGCAGTAGACTGACACGAGCGAATATTTATTGGCTAGCCTAGCTAGCATTGGCTTTTAATTGGAGTGAAGTGACTGGGCTCCTCGAATAAGATCCTCACATTAAGATCTACAGTAGGTGTGTTAAGGAAAATTTTTGCATCTGTTCACCTGTTAACTTGCATGTTGTATGTAAAGTCAGGTGGTGCTGTGTTGCGGCTGCTGCAGGACCCGATGGGCCCCAGCTCAAGTTCCCAATTTCTGAAAGTTTAATAATGACAAATAAAGAATTATTGTATAAGGTGACCCCTGCCCCCCCCCNTGCCCCCCGCCCCCCCCCCCCACTTTTTATGGTTGGAATTCCTACTTTTTTATGGTCCTGATACTGCATCTAGTTCGCTTAAAACCTAGCAAATGCAAGGCTAATCTTCCAAATAATACCAATTTTATGGGTTTTTTAAAATGTTCATCAAAATCCTGTTTCTCCGTATTTGCGTTCACTCATCCTGACAATAACATTTAGTAACTTCATTGCAGTTACGGACGATCCGCACATAAGACGAACATGACTTTAAAAATCTAAAACTTGTATGTCGTGCATCTTAAAGACGACCTCCTGTTTTTCAATCGTAAATTTCTATTTTAAGCTTTGTCCTATACTTGAGTATATGGTATTTAAAATAAAGGTAGTATTATAGCCAAAATACACAAACATTGTTTTTGTGACCGCCATTGGACTTTCCAGTGAAACCGAAACAGACATATTATCAATTGAATGACATAAACTGTGGATGATTTTTTAGGCCTTTGTCTATGGCTTTTATTATTCAATTTGAATTATGAGTTTAGTCTAGACTTAATCTCATTGATTTCTTCAGAACCACAGAATGGCAACTCTACATTGCATTCATCATTATCAATGGATTCTTTGCTGTTCGAAAAAACTCCAATCAAAAAGTTGTTTGATACTGAAAGTAAGGTAAGTAATACCTCATTAGCAGAAGCGTGGTGACTTTCTTTTTATACTGAATATCAACTTACAGTTGTAATTACTATAATTATTTTTATCATTACATATTTATTAATTAATCAAATTACATATAATATGGTCACTGTTTTTCTTTTAATAAACAAATTTAGAATATTTTCATGTAGTATTTATTTGTTACTTGTTGTTTGTATGGCACTTTTTCTTTCATTACTACTAAACTCTGTAAGTTTTTACCTGGTCATTGGGTCCACAGGCTTAAGTGTTGCTGCCATATTGACGCAGTAGTAGGCAACCCCACAAGGTACCCATTTATACTCCTGTGTGGAGAGAAGCAATGAAGTTAAAGTGTCTTGCTCAAGGACACAAGTGAAATGCACAGCGAGGGATTGAAAGTCCGACCTCGAGGTTGGGAAACCAAACTGTCCTCGGTGCGCCAGACTGCTTCTTCAAAACCGCTTCTTTTTACATACTGTATTATCAATTGTCTCCCCTAAGTCAATGCCAATGGATATCACCATGTGCAGAAAAATAAAATTATGTGTGTTTAAGAAAGTTCATCCAACCAGATCTTTTTTTTTTTCAAAGACAAAAAAATGTCTTTGAAAAAAAAGATCTCCCTGGCTTCCTCCATCTTGGGACCCCCGCCAGTGACTATTGTTAGAAATTGTTAATTGGATCAATTTCCTAAGCCCGTGCATTCAATGACATCCAATCAGAATTATGAATTAGTTTAAGACTGGTTGTAACAATAGCCACTGTAAGAATATAATCTGCCAAATCTCTATACTTTTCTATAGTTTGTGTTTTTTTTTTTTTTTTTTTTTGTGTAGAATTCTATGAAAGGAGGAAAAGTGTGTTACACCATGCCATCCTGATCTCAATCGACAAATTTTAGATTTACAGAAAGAGGTATGTAGAGTAATATGCTATGGACATTGCTGTATCTATAGGGTGCTGCACCCAGAAAACTTTACAAAACCTCCCCATTAAAAATGTTTAAGCAAAATATTGTCACGCTAAAAGCACCAACATGAACATCATTCTCCTCAGCTGTAATGAAACTTATTATTATTGCTTCTGTGTTCTTCCCCTAACTCCCACAGTGAGAATTTGTGTTCTGACGACCTCTACTCAGGGAGTTGACATGTAATAAAAAAGAGAGCGGAGCTTAGCTTAGTCGGCTAATCTGGTGGTAGCCACTATGTGTGCGCTGAACCATGGAGGTCTCTAAGTCCCCGGTTCAGTTCCCATTGCTGCCTCTCCTTGTGTTTCAACTAGAGGGCTGAAATACAAGTTACAATAGCGCACCGTCTTTTGGATGAGATGTTTAAGCTGTTGGTTCTGTGTGCATTTATGGCCCATGTGCACGTTAAAGAACGCAGTACACTCTTCGGTAAATAGGGATTGTCTCCCGGTGTACTGCCCAATCACCACCAGAAGGACCCCACTAGAGATAAGTCTTCTTCTAGACTTTCGTGGGCTATCCTTGGTGTTTACACCGAATAAATCCAATCCAATACAAAAGTGGTATTTAGCCCAATCATTTTAACTATCACAACATGGTGAATCGCAAAGTCTTGTTAGGAATGTATTACATCAAAGCAGGACTGTCTATTGGATGAAGATATAAATATTTAAGTGCCTTTATTGTAATGTTTCTTTGTGCTAAATTTTTGCATAACTATCAAATCAAATACTTTCATTAAAGAAAACCAACAAAATTTCGTTCTTAGATAAGACATCTTCTACAACAGCGAACTGAGCAAGACAAGCTTCTGAACAGCAAACAGGCTGAGGTGACGAAGCTTGACGGCAGACTACAAGCCACCTTGAAGGACAAAAGTGCGCTAGAGGCAGGCCTAGCTACAGCTGAGAAGCAGCTATCTAGTATGAGGAAAGCCAAAGAGGTGCTTATGAATAAGGTATGCTAGGCTGGCTTTGATGGCCTAATTCTTGGAAGATTTATTAACTTGAGACCTAAATCTTTGTCTACACTATTAAATTTTCTTTGACAAAAAACTGTTGTATTCCCATATATAGTTGTGATGTGCCAATATATTGTCATGATGTGATGTCATCACGACCATATTTAGACATGTCACATGTTTTTGTCAAATAAAATTTGATAGTCTGGACAGGGCTTTAGGAAAAGTAGTCTGTGCTGTGCTCAAGGTTAAGTGTTTTATTAGTAAAATCTGATCAGACTTCTTGCACAACCTATTCACCATTACTTGATCTGATAGTGTAGGCTTCAGATGTCTGATCAAATAAATTGTGTGTTTTCATCAGATAAAGTCTCAGTTATTTTTTGTTTAATTTAAAGCTCTGTCCACACTATCAAATTTTGTGACCGATGCCCGTGATTGGCACAAATATGGATGATGATGACATCAACATGCCCATATTAGGAAAATTACAATTGTTACAAAAAAATCTGATAGTACAGACATAGCCTTCAATCTAATAGTGTTTTACTGTTAACGATGGAGCCTAGTATCAATTTATTGAAAATTGAGGTGTTTGCATTTCAGGTAGATACAGTGGAAAGCAATGTCCACAAGAAACAGGAGGAAATGCAGAAACAACTTCATGAAACAACAAATAAATTGAAAGATAAAGATAAGGTATGCCAGAGAAGATAATCACTAACCAGTTTTATTAATTACAACTCATAAATATGTGGCGTGGTTCTTATAAACTTTTACCAGCCATAGTTTTTTTTTTTTTTTTTTTTGAAAGAAGATATTGAATTCAGGTCTTTTCTCCAATTAACGACCACTTTTGGAACTGGTGTTTTCATGGTCTTTAGCAGCTTTGGTCTCTAATTAGAATAATTTCTTCCTTTCTTTATTAAATTTCTCTACCTTACATAAATTAAAAAAAAAAAACATGACATGTTAGGCAGAGCAAAACACACACATGAAAGTCCATAAAAACGCTGGTCCCGGACCTATAAAATAGATGACAATAAATAAAAGACATTTCCTAATATGGGACCACAGAAAATTGGTTTTTAAATGGAAGTGGTCTTTAATTGGAGGGGTCATAAATTCGAGAGAGACCTGCATTTAGATACTCAAGTTTAAGAGGAGACGTGATGAATTTGTTAAGCTGTATTGACCGAGAGATTGCCGACCTCATTCCATGCGAAACACAATGAGGCGTTTGCGAACAGTAGTTTTTAATTACGATCCAGTCAGATTGCCACCTACAGTCAGCAAACAGCGTTGAATTGCTATTCACTTCAAACAGAGCGTAGATGTATTCGTGGGCCAACATATCGTATGCCCAGCTTCACTTGCTTTTGTCGCTTTCTCTAGAGGCGTGAAGTAAATGTTATTTATCTATACTCTGTAGGAAATAAGCAGGTTAAAGGATGAGTTGACAGGTCAAGTGCGCCACCTACAGGCAGACCTAAAAGAAGCCTACAGCAAGGTGCAGGCACTGCAGGAAACTAAAGATATTCAAGGTATAGTTCCTAAAAACTTTTGTTTTTTCCGTATCTTTTTGTGGACTCTGTTAATAAGTGTAATATTTTTCAGATAATTGCAGAGACCACATACACAATTGTCAGTAGCATTGTTTCCGTAGTGATTTATCATACTACATCACTGCTAATGACATAAGAGGTCATAATTGAATAAACTTTCCTACATTTATATCGGCATGCTGAGTAAGTCAGTTGAAGTACTGAATACAATGCAAGAAATTTCTTATTCTTTTTCCTCAAAAACTTACAAACAACTTAGGTTTTGTGCATAATAAATGCATGTATTTTAAAGTAATTTTTATATTTTATATTTATTTAACATTATTATGTATTATACAGTATTAAAATTATAGTGTTATAATTTTATTACTGTTAATATTATATGAATTTGTTTCTCACTTCAGAACAACTTACAATTGATGCTCAGAAACATACTGAAACAATTGAAACACAAGCCACACAGTTACAGGTAAGTTAAACTTTCGAAATTCAAGTTTCTTTTATTGACTTGTCCGTAAAAAAAATTAAATGTTTATTAAAATGAAAATTTTTTGTTTGATTGCACACATTGCCAAGTACAATTTAAAATACTGTATATTAAAATATTAAGTAATAAAACATGAAATAATGGTATGCAATACATTAAGATATTCAGTGTTAAAAAGATATTAAGATTCATTGTTGAAATTATAAAAGTCTTAATTTAAAAAAGTACAATCATTGAAAATGTTAAAAAGAGACAAAAAAAAGAGAAAAAAAAAAAGATTCCTGGCAATAGAATCAGTAAAAAAATATTAAAAACTGGGTAAAATGTGCAGTATAAAATTTATCTATGGGATTTCTTTTTAAAATTCTAATAGAGTTAAAGTATTGCAAACAGAATAGTTTTTCAAAGAATCACAACTTCATGGTTTAAATTTACTAACGCATCTTTGCAGGTGTTGTCTGTTGAGAATTCAGATTTAAAAAGCGTCATTACAGATGTTAAAGAAGACCTGAAGAATGCCAAAGAATTCCTCAAAACTCTAAGGTAAATTTTTACTTTTAAAGTTTGCATTTTGATTTAAACGTTATCATTAAAGCTCTGTTTACACTCATTTTATATAAAAAAAAACATGCGATTTGCCCATGTATAGCTTTAAAATGACATCATCAAACCTAAAAAAATAGCACATCACACACATTTGTCACATTAGTGACAACCTAGTGTGGACAGACCATAGTAAAAAATGATTTTATTTTGTAGTCAAGGGAATGGACTCTAGGTTTCAAGACAGCACATGGCATCTGAACGAAAAACATATAATGACATCGTCATGCCAATATATGGGCACATCACACACGTGTCACATCACATACATTTGTCACATCACATACATTTGTCCCATCACACACATTTGTCACATTAACCTAGTATATTAAAATATTAAGAAAAACACAAAATATTGATATGCAATACATTAAGATATTCAGTGTTAAAAAGATATTAGGAATCATTGTTAAAATTATAAAAGATCATATGTAAAAAAGTACAATCATTAAAAAAGTAAAAAAGAGACATAAAAAAAAAAAAAATCCTGGCAATAGAGTCAGTAAAAAAATATCTGTCTTGCGGTCAAGAGAATGAACAGGAAGCTTATGAGGAAATTACACGCATTTGTCACATTTAACTAGTGTTTAGAAGCTTCAAGACAGCGCACAGAATCTGAACAAACAGCGTATAATGATGTAATCATGCCCATATATGGGCACATTGCACACATTTTTTGTCACATCACACACATTTGTCACATTTAACTAGTCTGGACAGACTTTAATGGAAAATGCTTTTATCTTGTAGTCAAGAGAATGAACAAGAAGCTTCAAGACTGCGCATGGAATCTGAACAGACAATCAGCGATCTTCAACAGCAACTGACTACTGCTGAATTTGAAATCAAGACTCTCAACGAAAACATCACCTCCTCTGAAAAGAGATTGGAGAATGAGGTTTTAAGGGCAGATGAGGCTGTAACAAGAGCCGACGACGCAGTGAAAGAAGCAGATGACGCTGTGAACCAGGTTGCTACGTTGACAGAGAAGTTAGAGATGTGCGTTCTAAATTATTATTATTATTATTATTATTATTATTATTATTATTATTGTAGTATTATTATTTTATATAACTAGAATTCAAATGAATCAAAACTTCCAAAATAAACTAAAATCCACAAGAATGGCTTGTGAAGAAGTGAATGCTAATCATTCAAAGAGCATATTTTTGTAGCCAATCGCAGAGTAGAGTCCAGTTGTTTACATTTTTAATAGGATTAATAATTTGATTATTGACATGTTCGAACAACAGTGGAGACATATATAAACAGAGATTTGGCCAACTTAACTTACATACAGTACTTTGTAAAAATCTTATTATATCATGACAAGTCGTACACTGTAAATGCATTGTTATGAATAGTGAGGGCGCTCTCCCTAACCATAAAGCTCTGTCCAGAATATCAAATTTTCTCGGACAAAAAGCTGTCCGATGCCCATATATAGTCATGATGCGCCTATATGTGGTCATGATGCGCCTATATGTGGTCATGATATGATGTCACCACAGGGCTTTAAGGTAGGCAGAGATATGTTGGTAAAGTATATGCTTTGTTTGAATTCTCACACAATTAGGACAGAGAACATGATGAACGAGAATTTGAAAGCCTTGTCTACCAAGTACCAATTACTGGAGGAAGACTACACGGCGTGCCAGCAAGACCGACAACAAGAAACGGAACAACTCAGGTTTGAGCTTGACGCTGTGTACAGCACGTCCTCAGAGATAGAGGCCGAGCGCGACACCCTACTTGAGGGGAACAGGCAAATCATGGACAGTGTAGAAAAAGAACGAGTAAGTGAAAGATTTATATTGTATTTATTTGTTTATTTCAGGAAGGCGCTTATTCCAAATGAGGGGGCGTGAAGTGTGGCGTTAAATAAATGCATGGTAATTAAGCTTATTCTCATTATTATCATTGTTATTGTTGATGTTGTTTTGGTGAATTTTTTGTTACTATCATTAACTATTATTAGGCCAGGCCAAATATAAAATTATTTTGTTTCCCACGTACAGTGACATTTTGTGGATTTTTTTCTTTACAATTGTCCTAGGCCTAATTCTAGGGCTCATTAATAACCATTACTCATCCCATGAATTTTGGTTGGTAATATGGTAACAACAAAACTAGAATGCACGGTTAAAGTATCAAATTTATTAAAGGTTGAAACACTTGATATAAATAATATATTTTTTGATATTAATTAAGAACAAAGATCACACTAGATTATCAAGATTTTGTGGGCTTAGGTGAAACAAAATTTTTTGAACTTATTAAATGAAAATGTAGGACTCCATTGATTTTGTTAATTGGTTTGTTCTCAGGAAGTTGGAATAAGACTGCAGGAGCAGTTAATGGCGGCAGAGCAAAGGATAGAAACTACAAAGGAGCAACACGAGGAGTACAAGGAACAGGTACGAGGAAAAAACTATGGAAAAAATTAACACAAAATCCAACAAAACAATAACAGACCTATTGCGTAAAAGTAATACATAATGGCGCTAGAAACACCTCCATCATTGCTATGTAATATGACCATTAGGGCTTGGGTTCAAACCCTGACGGATGCAGTACATTATTCTATAAAACATATTATCCCTGTTTAAAGAATTTTGAATTATTGAATACTCACAATTTGTTAACCAATTTTGGACATAAAGAAACAAAATAGTTCATTAAAATAATATTTTATTATCTAAGAGTATTTATATTATTTGTTTTACTCTATATGGGTATCATTTTATTTCCTTTTTATATTTTTTTGTATTAATTTTAAATATATTTAAAATTAATGCATTTTGTAAAATGTATTAATTTTAAATATATTTTCATATTTTTCCAGATGGAGAATGATTTGCTAGTTTTGAGGGAAGCCAAAAACAGTCTTCTAATCTTAAGTTGTGAACTAAAAGAAAAAGTTAAATCACTGGAAAAAGAGAATCAACTTCTTCACAAAGATCTCTCACGGTAATTGCATCTTATTATTTATGCATGCTGATGTCTAAAGACCAAGTCAGACAGCATTGTACGACACAGCCTGATGCAATTTGTTATCGTGTCGTGTCTGCGGACTCGATGGTTTGCGTTGGGGGCAGTTGCATCATAGGAAATTAAACATGTTTAATATTTCTCAAGACTGCTGTAGAGTAAACCCCGCTTTTATCATCTTTACTTTTTCACACTGACCTCTCATGATAATCTAAGATAACCAAAAGGTCCACTGATTAATCTCAGATAAGAAAGTATAATACATACTCCAAGTATTGAAATGCATGCCATGGTGTTGGGATTCAATATTTTGACATTAATTATGTCATGAGTAATGATGACATAATTAATGTGGAAACATTGAATCCCAACACAGTAGCGTGCATTTCAACCCTTGAAAAATATATTATACTGTCTGATCTAAGATAATTATTTCTTAATATTCACAAAAATTTATTCCAAACTGATACAATTGCATAAAGCAGAATGAGAAAGATTGCATGTGTATTGTTGTTACACTTTGGGGGAGGGGGGTGTTGGAAGTTTATTTCTTTCAATGGTGTTCCCTTTATCCAGGTAAGTTTCCTAATCATAACAGTTTAATAATAGGTAATAATAGCTTTACTCCTTCTTTTTCACTTTATAATTGTTCCAGGCATGCTGAAACATTTGGGGAGATAACAAGAGAGAAGACAGTTTTACTAAACAAGATGAGCGACCTTAGTATTCAGAAACAAAATTTAATTGAAAGCAAAGAGCAACTAATCAAGTGAGTACAATGAGTTATGTTCTAACTTTTGCTGGGAAGGTAAATCTGCTTCTTGAGTGGCAACCACCCCCTTGCCACACTCATAAGTTTGGTGTAGTCTTGCCCAATCGCTAAGGAAAGAGAGATTAGACTACTATTGACTTTTTAATCCATATATTGTATTTTATCTAAAACTATAAAGATAAGTAAGGTAAAGTAGAAATAGGAACTTTAAGCGCACAAGCCAGAGTATCTATCAACTTGGCTGTTTGGACAGACTGTTGCAGTGGCTAATAAAGATATAAAAGCAGTTGTTTTGCCATGGGACAACCATTGAGACAGTTGTTACTGAGGATAAAAGTACATGACTATTGATCAATGCTGTGTTGCTATCCATTGCCACACAACCAGAAGATCTGAAAATTACCTTATAAAAAGTACTGAAAACATAAAATGATCATTGAAATCACTTTGGTACATGGAGAAACACCTCCACTAGCAATAGCTAAAGATGATAAGTTTTTTAGAAAACGTGTTGTCTAGTCCATCATAATTTAAGCCTAAGACCTTCCAATTACTTTTCAGATACCCTACTACTGAGCTATGAGGCCAAGTTGTATATGCTTCTAGAATCATTGAATTTCAGATGTTTTTAATATCATTTATGTATTTATTTTATTAATGTTTTTCATCGTCAGAGATTCTGAGGTTCAACAGGAGCAGTTAAAACAGTTGCAGGAACATTCAGAAAAGATGACAAAGGAAAAGGAATTAGCAGTGGAAAGTAAATTGGAACAAGAGAAAGAAATGAGCCAACAGATTCGCGATGCAGAGGATGAGTTGAAGCAGGTGAAGCAGGAATTTGCCAAGCGCCTTGTTGCAACTCAAACAAGGTGTTCATCAAAAGAGGTCGAAGTTGAAAGGTTAGGAGAGATACTTTATTACCATAGATATTAGAGAACTTTCAATTGAGTACGTAGAACTGATTCACTCATCTGTGACTGTTGTCGCATGCGTTCTAAGTTCTACTTTAAATCAATTCCAATTTAAATACAGTCCTCGTTCTAGCCTGAACGTATTTTTTCGGTCGACAGCCGTTCCAGATTTCAGGAGAGAATATAACGCACAACATTCAGACACGCACAGTTAAATTAACATGACATCTACGTCGTCGGAAATCGAAAGCTTCCTATTTATTTTTAAGGGTATTCTAACAAGATCGCTGTTTTGTATTGGAATTTAATTTTTCATTCTGTACAGCTTTTAACTGACTGTGATGCTGAAATTGTGGTGTCACATTTATTTATATGAAGCCAAACAGATGGTTAGCAATAAACCATAGAATTTTGGCCTATAGTAAAAGTAATAATTTCCCATTGATCAATTTCAAACTGTTACTCTTGGGTGAGTAGCACAACGATTCTTGTTTGGCAATCTAATATATTAGTTAAAAAATATTCCCTCTTGTTTTGAAATAGATATTTAGATCAGTTTTAAATTTGTAAGTACTGTATTGTTATTTTTATACAAGTTTGTGTCAGCTTCTGCCTTTATAGTTTTTCCAACTTCCTAATTTCTTGTCTTGACTTGAGAGTGTTAATCATAATTTATTTTGTTTTTTAAGACTCATCCATCAAGTTAAATCTCTTGAAGAAACTCTGCAGACAACTACTAATGAGAGGCTTAATCTACAAGAGCTTTTGGAAAAAGAGAAAACTACCCTCAATATCAAAATCACTCAACTGGAACATAATCATCTTAGGTATACCCAATGGCTTTAATCCTCCCAAATAAAAGGAAGCTGGGGCGGATGCAGGGGGCTGAAGACGGTGCGATTGCACTCCCCTAAATTGTATAAGAAAAGTAATTGTATTGTATTGTTGATATACTATCTTTGTCATTATCAACAAATTACCAGTAATATTTTAAGAATATTAGAGTTCAACTGTCCCACCTAGAGGTCCATATTTTCCAAATTTTCCAAGGTTTCGTTGATGTGGTGTCTCGCGCACCCTCTACTGCCAAATCCTGCATCCGCCCCAGGGAACTATTAAAGCTTTTTTCAAAATGGCAGTTTTAACGACCTTAAAAACCTTTACATTGCCTGCATTATGGCGTGTCATTTAGTGGTCTTCAGTTTTGACACAACATTCGTGACCCATAGTTTAAACCATGCCGTGTCACTTGTTATTTTTGTCGATTTTGAGAAAATATTTACTTAAAATCTAGTGGTTTTCTTGAGCTGATGAAATTTAGTAAGGCAAAAATCAAATGGTTATTGGTGTTTTTATATCAATAATCTTAACAGCGATGTATGAACAAGCTTGGGAATACATACCTGTATGGTTGCCCCAAACAGGGTAAATTCCAAAAATATGTCTTACTTGCAACAATAACCAACCTGACATGTTTCCAAGGCAAAACAACATATTTGTAATTATCACTAATAACTTTGCAATAAACAAACGGTTGTAATTAAAATTTTACATATAATCACAATGTCTATAGACACAATTACCGAAAGGTCCACTGATTTTTTGTTCCAAAGTTTCGAACATGCAAAGTTTAACTCTATTTTTCTCCAAAAGTGAAAATTTCAAGTTAAGTTTTATTGCCACGAAATGGCCGTACTTGATAATGATAACTGTTTCATATATGCTAACATACTAGTTAAAATGTAAACATTGAGCTCACCACTTACTGCTTGCGATATTTATGATCATCATGAATATTTATTATTACTTTTTGATGTTGTCTCAACAGTGAAATTTCACATTATGATGAAAGAATCAATACTTTATGCGGAAACCTCAAGCAGTCCCAGGAAATAAATGAAGAATTAGAACTAAAAGGAAAAGAAATGGAGAAACAATTGTCAGGAAAAATTCATGAGTTAGAAGACAATAACAGGAGGTTGGAGCAAGAATTTAAAGAAAACCATGCGATGATGCAAACCAGATGTACAATGGCAGAAAATGAAACTCAAAGGTTTTTTTATTCATTATTAAACTTCAATAAACTTTTTAAAACTTCAATAGTCTTTAAAATAATTTATTATAATTCATTGACACTTAAAATATTAAAATAAAGTAAATTGTTTCTATTTGTCCTGTTCCCAATAGAAATTAACAATGTTTATATATTAACAACTTTATATTAATTTTTTTTTAAAGGCTGAACCAACAGGTACACACACTTGAACAAAACATTGCAAATGCCATGCATGAACGGAACCAGATTCAGCTCAGTGCAAGTGAGAGGGAACAAGAGAACACTGCCCTCTGTAGAAAAATTGCAGAATTGGAAGAAGTTCTTGACAGGTAAAGGAAAGCTGGATAAGGACCTACAGTACTTCAAAATGTCCAAAGTCTGATTTAAAATTTTGTTCGATTGATATGAATAATTTCTGCTCATTTTAACTATAAATACATACGTAAGTGAATAAAAGTGTGGTGCTATCGTATGTTTCTTGTAGATTTGTGCAGGCGTAAGTCGTAGCAAACATTTTGTCCTTACTCAAATATGATTGCTAGCATTATTTGCTGTTGGAAATCCTTTTAAATATCTTTAGTTTATGCAAACCACTACATTGCTTACACAGTAAAGAGCTTGAACACCAACATCAGCAGAAAATCCTTCAAGATAAACTCAACAGTATTGAAAAGATGTTGGAAGAAGCAGAAAAAAGAAAACAGATGATTGAGATCGAGATGCAGGCAAGGATAAAGGAAATGAAAGAAGAAATATTTACACTGAATGAGAATTATGAAAAAAATATTGCTACAATGCAAGAAGAGTGTGCAAACAAGGAATTTGATATGAATAGGTAAAATAGTAATGGGAGTGGACTTGTATAGCTTAGTAGGGAGCTTTCGATTTGTACAACGACACAATGCTAGAATAGAATCACTCATGCGTGACCGTCGTACCTGGCGTCCTATGTTCTCTGCGTACCTAGGTTTGGCCAAATTGTGCGCTAGAATCCATGCGACGAGGAGAACTTAACGTTCTTGAATGCGCAGGTGGCTTTTATTGACATCATACGTTGTATGCCCTACCGTCGTCTAATCAAAAACTCTATGGGTAGTTAAAAATGCTTGCCTTCTAATCCTAGGGTCCTGGGTTCAATTCATATGACATGATTAAATACAGACAGTGACTATTGTTACACCAGTCTTAAACCTACTATTACTGGATCAAATCCAATGGGATTTAGAAATTAGTTTAAGACTGGTGTAACAGTAGCCACTGCCTTTAAGAATATAATGTATGTTTTAAGCTCTAAGTAACCACAGTCAAATTTATTTGGACAAAAAACTTTTGTATGCCCATATATAGTCATGATGTGCCTATATATGGTCATGATGTGCCTATATATGGTCATGATGTGATGTCATCATGACCATATTTAGGCATGTCACATGTTTTTTTTTCAAATAAACTTTGATAGTCTGGACAGCCTTGTCATTTTTTTTTTAAGGTTGGAAGAAAGAGTTAGCCACTTAGAAGAAAGTGTTGAGACTGAGGCAAGGAGAGCAAAGCATTTAGAAGAAGATAACCGTCAATTGCGTGATGAAAGATGTTGTCTCTCAAACAAGGTAGATCACTTGGAAGCAAGAAACTCAAGGTAAGAACACTGACATGGGTATCTACAGTGTATCATGTGATGCAACTGTCAACCATGTTGACCCCTATAATTATAAACCATTCAAGAGGTTTGTGAATGATTTGTTTTCTCTTTTTTATCTCAATAGTTTGATTAAACATGAATTTATTTCTTTCCAGTCTGGAGAACACTATAGAAACCAGGTCATCAAGAGTCCAGCTATTGACCAATGAACAACAAGAGCTGAAGAAAGTGATGAGTGATTTAGAAGAGAAAAACAGCGCCCTCTCTATTACTATAAGTGGTCTACAAGAAGCAGCTGAGTATGTTCTTTAAGTTTGTTACAATATCATTGGTTGTGATCTCAAAACATATCCTCTGTAACTAATGATCTGTGAGGACCTCTGACCTATTGGCTGGAATTGAAGTAGGGGTGTGGTTTTCATTTGGAAGAGTTTTCAGCTCTTCCATCAATTTTAAACAACCCACTGCTAATATTTTAAAGAATATGCATTTGTATTCACACGTAATATTGAAATATATAAATTATGTACAGTATAAAAAATCCATATGTTGTATTTAACTGCAATGTTACATTCAGTTAACACTGAAATTGTAAAATTATTGATAGAAAATTAATTAAATTTTTTCATATATTCACAGAAATCATGTCTGCAATAAAGAAAATACAGAGGTTTTAAAGGAAGAGATTTCACGGTAGGTTAATTTCAAAACTGTCAAACAAAATACAAAATCGCATTGCATTATCAAAAGAATTGATGCACTTTATTGTAAAATTGGATTAGGACTTATTGAAAGTTTTAGGATTGTTTTGTCTACTGCTAAATATTCACATCATTCCTATGATTTATGGAGCCATGAAATTTTAATAAGCTTTAAATAAGATTTAATAAGCGACTTCTCTCAAAAAAAACCAGAGATATAAAGGTTGTGTTCGATGTCGATGGTGCCTGGCTGGGCTCAGGTCTATCCCTACCTATTGTTTATACTGTAGTACCATAAGCACACCAAACAAAGCTAGCATTTTTTTCGTCTTCTTTTGAATCCTTATATAGAAGTACAATGAAACATCATTGCAACAGTACTTTTCCCAGAGCGAAATAGTACCATATGGTTTCGTTCTTGGCCCTAGACCTATCTATCTCGCGCAAAAACAGGGTCACCGGCTAGGCCAACAAAACAGATGTTTTGGTGTTAAACATATTGCATTGTTGTCCATAATATTGCATGATAGGACAAAATATTTGGAGGAAATTTAAAGATAATTTATTAGAGAAATTATCGGAGAATAGTGCTGCGGAAACACGGTCTTAAACACAACTTTCTGTCAGTCAGATGTCTGGTGAAAGAATCCCACTATTCTAAAACATCTGTTTTGTTTTGTTTTTTTTACAAATTATTTAATTGTGTGAAGGATGTTAATTTATGATTATACAATGTTAACAAACAATTTAATCTTTATTATTTTCAGATGGCAAACTCTTTATGAAAACCTGGAAGAAAAAGTTGCCCCATTCAAGGTTTGAATAGTTTCTATCCATGTTCCAGGGCATGTATTTTGTAGTTGAGATCGCATTGTAATAAATAAGTGTTGTACATTATTCATGTTCCAGGACCTATTTTGTAGTGGATGGTAGGGATTAAAATAATCAGCCTATTCTCTCTCCCTATATATATATTTTTACTATTCTCTATTAAAGGAGTAGAAAATGCATTCAATGTGAATGTTACCCCGGCCATTGCCACCCCTCCCCCTCCTCTTTAATGTCAAACAATCACCTCACGCTCAGTTGTGATTTATAGGCGGACCAGGTCTATTTTTAAACAGCGCCACCAACGCCTTGCAACTTTTGACTGGGGGACATCTAGCAGTCTAGACTAAGCAAATTTTGTTTTTCCAGACACATCTTCTTTTGAGCACCTTGATAACCAAAAACACTGGACGTTTTATGTACCCCTATTTTCCTTTCTATTTGTTTTGGCATTTTGTTTTCAAAGGCTAGCCCAGGCCTGTACAACAGCAAGGTCTGCACCAGTCACAGAGCACAAACACTGGTAACTACTGTATGTGGAGCGAAATGCCTATACCTCTGGAAGTCCCCCATTTGTAGTTGCCAAGTTCTCAGAAATTTTAATTTCAAATTTAGCAAAAATGGTGTAACAATAAAAATGACTGCAGATTTACAAATTTGACCTTTGACCTGGATGTGCAGCATGTTAAAATTAACCCACTAAGTTAAGTAAGACCCATCTTATTGCTGTGGGCTTGGAATTAGTAACATACTTTAATTATAATTTCTCATGATTTTTACATGTTGTGCTTGTTTTTTACAGGAGCAGCTGGACCAGTTTGAGTTGGAACGCAAATTCATGTTGTCTAAAAGCAGCCAGGCTCAGTCTGAGATTCAAAAGTTAAGTCAGGACTACGCCAAGCTGCTAGGCCATCAGAACTCAAAACAGAAAATACAACATGTGCAGAAATTGAAAGAAGAGAATCTCGCTCTAAAGCAGGTAAAAAATTTTTACAAATGTTAAATCTGGGCTGCATATTTTTTATAGCTTGTTCAAAAGAATATTTTAGGACATTGAAGAGGTTTTTAAAGAAATAATTGGGAACGAGTTATAAGATTGTTTGAATATTAAAAAACCTGGGTAATTGAAGCACTTTTTGTTAATTTATTGTGTGTCACTGTTAAATTTCTTGAAAGTGATAAAATTCACATTTGAAAGTACCAGCATATGATAGTAAGGAGCCTTCGATTTGCACAACGATGTGATGCTAGAACAGATTCACTCATGTGCGACCGTCCCATGTTCGCTGCACAACATAGATTTGGTCAAATTGCATACTTGTTAATAATTAGTATTTGAAATTTAATCGCACAATTTTTTTTTTTTTTTTTTTGCTCTAGGAGGTGACAAAGCTTAGGGAGCAAAATGTAAAATATATGCGACAACTGAAAGGTGCTGGCGAGAAAAACCCATCAAAAAGGAGATTCAACCCAAGTGAAGCGTTTAAGAACACCAAAGAGAATACGGTACCACTTGGACCGCACAATTGAATCCCCTGAATGAGTGCCCAGCCAGATCACCAGATGTGCAGCTACTCAAAATTTAAATATTGTAAATAAAATATGATTCTTTGATGGTTTAATCATTAAGTATTAAAATTATCTGTATATTTTTACCTGTAATAAAAGGAATAAAAAGGAATAGGATAACTTATTCTTTTTTTTTAAATTGTCAAACCCCTGCATCTCTTCCTCTTGTAATTGACCTTTCCACTAAGCCCCGGCCATTGAATATTGTTGCTAAGCTCCTACAAGATGACAGTGTTAAAACATACGTAAACATGTACGTTTGTGTGACAACACCTGTGCTTGTTGGACACGCAAGTATTCCTGGCACTATTCTGATTGGTCAGTTAAGTTTGATTGACTTCTCGGAAAAGTTTTTAGGGTTTTCTGAGCACTATAACTCTGTGTGAAGAATCATCAATGCGAGATTAAAAGCTTGCGCAATTTTTTGCCGCATTCGGTATGTAAGTTAAAGGCGACATAGAATATTAAACATATGTTATTCTTGTAACGAACTAAAGATTGTCTCCAATGGAAAATTGTGTCAGGCTGCGTAGGACGATGAGTTGGTCATACGTTCTCTGTTATAGTATATCCACACTAAAAAAAAAACATCACAGACCTATCAAATTCCCCGATATATAACATTGATCTGCGTGCATGTCCAAGAGGTGCAGAATTTATTTCTCTTTTTGGTTTCGTTGTGGTGCACGTATCATCACTGTCCGCGTATCGGTTGTACCAACTTTTGGCAAGGTTTTAGAATCCTACAGAACAGGGTCATAGTAGATTCAATCATAACTCAATACTTGCACTATAAATCGAAACAAAATGTCTTGTAAACAGGTAGGGCGTTCATCATTTTATAAATCAAGTGCATGCACAATAGATTTATTTTTTTATAATCCCCTCTGATCCTCAGTCTACTCTAGGTGATAAATATAAATCGGTAGGTGGAATTACCAAATAGCGCAAATCAATCAGTATTAAAGTTGTAAATTTCTTATTAGTGTATTAAAATTCTTTTGTAGGTCAATCAGGTTTCAGAATTAGTTTCCTGAACAGTTGTAAGAGTAGAAGTTATGTATAAATTAGGGTTAAATTGTAGTACTGTATTATTGCCTAGTAGTAGAATGTCATCTTCAGATAACTATATGTAGTAGTACTTTATACATTCATAATGATAGACAATAAGAAGTATCACAATTATTCAAACATGATAGTGAATACAAATCTGTTTTATTATTCATATTTTCTTTATTTGTTTCACATAAACTTAGAGCACTCTGCAGATAGACCATCTGGCCTAGGCACTATAGGGTCAGGGGTCAGCAATATTTTTTTTTTTTTTTGGCAGAACCTAATTCTATAGTTTATTGCCAAGCTTTACACACCCCATGCATTATTGTTGGTAAAAAGCACATTACTGTTAATACTGTATAACAAATATATTATTTAAATCTTTGAAATGTGTATTTTAATAAAAAGGTACAGTATTTTGCCAAAAAAGAGGACCCTTGATAACAGTGTTCTCGGTCCAAATTTTGTTAAGTATGTTTAAACTTATATGATTCACAATTTTAATAAAATGCAGACATGTTGTGAATGATTAAATGGTTTGAGGTTTGTGCCTGGCATTTAAAAGTCTGTTGCAGTTCAACAGGTCTACCCTTGCAATCTCCCGGTCAGTGTAACAATTATTTTGTTTTTTAGTCATTTAGTCATCATAATACAGATGACATATTGAAGTTTAGTGAGGAAATTTGTGACTGGCTCTGTCGAAACCTGCCGTTTGTCGCAATTACCCGAAACTTTTGAGAATCAGAATTTTTCAATGGCATTTTGGATTCGCTTAGGCAAGTTCAACTGCATTGATTTTAGAGTCTCTGGAAACTGTTTTTGCAAAACCTACATGGCTGATATTCAATGAATTATTTAAATATTCATAACTTACCTAATACTCGACTACTCGACTAATTTCCATCAAATAAACACTGTTTTAAAAAACTCAATTTTGGGTTTTTCCTAGATTTGGTCTCACAAAATGAATACCAGTTTTTGATTTGTAGTGAAACTCAATTTATTGTTGCACTTTATATGTTCTTTGAAAAGCAATAAATTTATATTATTAGTTTTTGCTAATATATGCTATTTGCTACTTTAGGAAATTTTGACATACCAAGCTGAAGGTCTTTTTTCTAAATGTTTAGATTATAGTTATTGCAAACTAATGATGTAAATAATGTTTAATATAATAAATTATGGAATTTTTAAGACATTATTACCTCAACAATTGAGCGACATGTAGATAATATAAAAATTCTTTTGATGCAGTTTTTTAAAATTTTAACTACAATTTATCGTCCAATAGTAAAGGTTTTTGCCATTACGCCTCGGATAATGCTGCTACTCCTGGAAGGACTTTACCTGCAAAACAAATAATTATCGAAAGTTAATATATGAGAAATTTTCAGTGGACAATTATACCCTACAATTCATAAATAAAAATAAAGTGAATTCGTCATTAAAATGGGAATACAGGCCATATAATGTAAATTTCATTCAATGAACCTTTACATGGCCAACAACTGTGATCCATAGCAGTTCTACTACAATAAGAAAAAAATAACATAAGGGCAC